GTATCCAGGAACCGACAAACATCCAGGTACGACGACTAAACGCGGTTACCAGGAAACTACAGGCAGGTCCGAAGAAGATCGTGTATCAAGCTATGACCCCAACAGGAGAAGTCGACCTGCATAGCGATTCTGGCTATCGTCGTCTCAACGGAGATGAAGACGACGAAGTCAAAGGCTACGGTATCCGCGGGGCAAACCTGCTGAGGCGTGGCCACACGCAAGCGGGGAAACCCGTCGTGCACCTGGTGGACGCATACTGCAAGTCTCATCGACTGCAGGTGCGTTCGAGCTATTCTGCGGAAACACTGGCAGCAGCCCACAACTTGGAAGACTGCTACCCGACCATAGTAACGCTCCACGAGCTACACTCGGGACCATTGACCCCCACACAGTTAAAGAACATATTGGAGATGGGTGGTCTATGCATCAAAGTCACTCTGACTATTGATGCCGAGTCTGTCTTCAAGTCTTTGTCTAGCAAAGATCTGAAGAAGCCCACAGAATGTACTCTGCTTGGGCACATTAGCTGGATCCGCCAGATGATGGAGCGCGGAATCGTTGAAAGCGTTCAATGGTGTGACACGCGGGATATGACTGCCGATGGTCATACCAAAGGTAGTATTGACCGCGCGTTGCTCCTACAAGTAATGGCCGGCCAGCAATCCTTCAAGCACGAGCTGAAGAAACATACACCGTATAGGGCGGGCAGGTCGTCTCAGGACGGCCCTGCCTCCCGAGCTAGCGGGGAAACCCGCGGGCAGGTGCGCTCTAGTAGCGAGGAAACTCGCCGGTAGCGAGGCTACTCGCGCGCCCTTTCCTTGTAGGCAGCCGCTGCTGCTTAGCACTGTTTTTCCGCATAATGTAGAAGTGCGGTGCCTGCTCGTCTCCTCCCCCTCCGACTTTAAACGGAGAAGGTTAAAGGCGAGGTATAAATCGAGCATGTACCGCTGCCGTGCCTGGCTCAAGCCGGGCCCGGCCAAATATGTGATTGTGCCTCACCGAGGCGCACGACTTGCATCTGAGATCGGAAAATACCTTTTCCATTGACGATGCCCATCCTATCCTTTACTCCAGATCCCATGCTTCGTCTTGCTCTCCTGCTCATGCGATATGAGCCAAAGCCTGGGATATGGGAACGCCTAAGGCGTAATATATACCTAAGCTTACCAGCATGTTTTCGACTCGGTGGTGGGACCGAGTGTATATACAGTTTATATATTATATATATATATATATATATATATATATAAGTATAGATATATATATATAAGTATATATATATGTATATATATGTATGTATATATATGTATATATATATATATATATATATATATATATATTCGCACACATGTATATATACACATGTGTGTATATATGTATATACATGTGTGTACAAGACTGCTTTGGCGCTTCGCGCCATGCACCTTGGTCCTTGAAGTTTTGTATGCAGGCGGAATGGCAGGAAGGTCAAGCCGACAATGTATCGATAACTCCTTGTTGCCTTTTCCGACATTGCCGTTATAATGAATGTTATTCGTTATTATTCCTCCATGTTTCTTTTCCCTCATTCTCGCCATGCCCTGCATATTCTCCCCATCCTCAGCTATTTTTGCGGAGGGTCCTCTTTGGAGAGCTTCTGAGGGCCTCACAACAGTTTTTCTAGCATTGTTAAGGCCTTGTGGAGGCCTCCGGGGCGTCTTCTGGGGGCCTCAGGGGGCTTCCTCGGGCCACCCTGCCTCCAACCGCGGTCTCCCTGAACGACCGGGTCACGATTTGGAATGCTTTGGAGGGCGTTTGGGGGCCATCTTGGGCCGTCATGTGGCTCTCTCAGGCCATCTTGGAACCCTGTTGTGCTGTCTTGGGGCTTCCTTGGAGTGCCTGGAAGCCCTTTCGGATGGTTGTGAGGCGATTTTCGAGCCTCCCAGGCGGCTTCGCAGGCCCAGAAGACCGCCGTCTTGGAGCGTCGGGAAGCCCAAAAGAGGAGAACCCCCAAGTTCACGAGAAGCCAATGAAAATCAGTGAACATCATTGAAATTTTGCCTCTTGGGGCCTTCTTGGGAGTGCTCTTGGAGGCATCTTGGGACGTTTTGTAGCGATCTTTGGGGGTATGACGGCTCTTTTGGGGTCGTCGTGGACCGCCTTGGGGCTCCTTGGGGTCGTTTCGGGAGCGCGCCGGAACGCTTGAAGCCATTTGGGCCCGTCTTCGGACTGTCGTGGAGTTCTCCCGTGTCGTCTGGATGGTTGCCCACATTATTTATATATATATATATATATACATATATATATATATATATATATAAATGTACCTATACGACCGCCTTGCGGGCGATAAGGAGGTTTGGGGGGGATTGAGACAAGATAGATTGGATTGGACATGATGGATTGGATGAGATGGGTTGGATAAGATAAGCTGGATTAGATAAGAAAGCCCGCCGCAGGCGCGGACAAAATCAATTGATGGATTGGGTTGGGTGGATTGGATTGGATGGGATAAGATGGATTGGATAAGATAAGATGGGTTGGCTTGGAAGAAATGGATTTGATAAGATAAGATGGATTTGATTGGCCCGCCGCAGGCGCAGAAACAAATAAATTCATGGATTGGGTTTGGTGGACTGGATTGGGTGGATAAGATAAGATGCGACAAGAAGGGTTGGATAAGGTAAGATGGATTGGATTGGACAAGATACATTGGATAATATAAGCTGGATTGGATAAGAAAGCCCGCCGCAGGCGCCGAAAAACATGAATTTTGAAATTAGTGACATTTTTTAGCGCCGGGACGCCCGGGACACCCGGGACACCCAGGACAGCGCCCAGCCCAATTGGGACACCTCCCGGCCACCGGCGGACGGGAAACGGACTATCGCTCCTGCTGACACCAGGGACACCCGGGACACCGCCCGGCCCAACTGGGACACCTCCCAGCCACCGGCGGACGGGAACGGACTTTCGCTCCTACTTCGGCCTAGCTACAGGAGGATCACGCGCAGCTTCGCCTCGCCCGCACGCACGACACGATTACGAAACCGAAACCGATTTCCCGGTGGGGGGTCTCCTTTTCACTGCGATCTCACCCCCCAACCTCCGATCTGGATGTCATTTTGAAAAGATCAGTCGATCTCACTATCGATCTACCTGGACGCCAACAGGGACCACCATCGCGATAACCAATGGGAAAACCATCGGGACAAACATCGGGCCATCCATCGGCCCAACCGTTGGGCCAACCATCGGGACAACCACCGGGACAACTATCGGGACTCATCCAGACACTTGGCGGGACGATTGGGAGCCACCACGGCTCAAAGGGCCACGTACAGGAGAGGGGGTGGCCTGACCAGGCCCGTGCGTGCAGGAGCGCAGCTTCGCCTCTCCACTGCCGTACGCGCGTCACGCACGAACCGAAACGATTTCCCCCGTTGGGGCACCTGACGTTTCACTTCCGTCTTATCTTTTTAATTCTTTACGCTTCGCGTATCCCCACCAGCCCATCTCACAGCAGCAACTCTTGCGAAGCATGCCGACAGTCGTGTTTTTCAGGCGTGTGTCCGCTGGGCCCCGCATATCTCCCCTGTTCCTCCTTCCTCCCGCCTCCTTGTACATCCTCCTTGTGGGGGGAGCGGGAGAAGGACGAGGCGGAGGAGGAGGGAGAGAAAGCGCTCCTCGTGATTTGAGTCGTTTGGGGTTTCTCGTCCTGGTGTGAGTCGTTCGGGCCCTTCTTCCTGGTGTGAGTCGTTCGGGCTCTTCGTGGTGTGAGTCGTTCGGGCTCTTCGTCCTGGTGTGAGTCGTTCGGGCTTCTCGTGGTGTGAGTTGTTCGGGCCCCTCATCCTGGTGTGAGTCGTTCGGGCCCCTCCTCCTGGTGTGACTCGTTCGGGCTCCTCGTGGTGTGAGTCGTTCGGGGCCCGCGTCGTGGTGTGAGTCGTTCGGGCTCCTCGTGGTGTGAGTCGTTCGGGCGCCTCGTCCTCGTTCGTTGTGTGAGTCGTTCGGGCTCTTCGTGGTGTGAGTCGTTCGGGCCCCTCGTCCTGGTGTGAGTCGTTCGGGCTCCTCGTGGGGCCTCTTGGGGGCCTCTTGGAGCCTCTTGGGGCCTCTTGGGGGCCTCTTCGGGGCCTCTTGGGGGCCTCTTGGGGGCCTCTTGGGGCCTCTTGGGGCCTCTTGGGGGCCTCTTGGGGGCCTCTTGGGGGCCTCTTGGGGCCTCTTGGGGGCCTCTTGGGGGCCTCTTGGGGCCTCTTGGGGGGGGGCCTCTTGGAGGCCTCTTGGGAGGCTCCTGGGGGCCTCTTGGGGCCATCTTGGGGCCTCTTGCGACCTCCTCAGAAGCGCAAAGGAGCGCTGCCCCCTGAGAAGGACAAAATGAGCCCAAAACCTTCGTAAAAGTAATGATTTTGCTATGAGGGAAGATGAGCGCGGCCCCCTCAGGACGCCAAAATGGGGCCAAAACCGAAGTACAATCAATGATTCTGGCTTCAAAGAAGAGCAGAGGGGCCAAACTCGGTCCCCCCGTCGGGGCCAGAATCCTCGTGAGGGTCGTCGTTTTTTGGCCCTCCCAGGAGTCGAATCAGACCCCCCTGCCACCACCCGGGAGTCCCTGTCCAGGCCCAGGGGGAGGGGGTAGGGGGAGGGGTAAACCCCTCCCCGAAGGGGAAGAAGGGGGGTTGAGGACAGAGCGGGCTCTCTAAACCACTCACGCCCAAAGGGCTGGTGGGATTTCCGATTCGTGTACGTGGCTGGGCGTCCACGATAATAATGTCTGGGCTCTTATCAAGCAACCAGCTCTTGCGCATGAGTTCCAATAGTTGTCGTCATCAACCTGTTGGCCGGTTTGTGCGCTCTCATGGAAGCGACTGCATCATCCTGACTTCATACGATCTCATAGACGCGATACTCGCAGACCGCTTAGTTATTGAGCCTGCGAGTTATGCTTTTTCTTTTTGAACTTGTAACCAGGTCTGTGCTGACCGGCTTGTGCGCGTTCGAGAGACATTTTTGGTCGCGCCGCTCAGGTGGAGCTGGAGGTCATTGGCTACAACGCGGCGATTAGCGCCTGCGAGAAGGGCGCGCGGTGGCGGCAGGCGCTGTCGCTGCTCGCCGAGATGTCAAGGGGGAAGGTGGACCCGACCATCGTCGGCTACAGATGCCGCCCGCCATATGGATGAGGCGGTCTTCCAAGGAGGAGCCTCGATGAGGTTCAAGGAGCGAGACTCTGATCTATCCTAGGCCTCCAGGAGGCCCGCGGTGCCCTCCAGACACCTCCAGAGGCTTCCGGAACATTTCGGAGGCTATCGAGCAGAGGGGAGAGGGGGGTAGATGCAAGCTAGGTGCGCTCGCGTCATATCTGACGTCCTACCCCTCCCGCCCATCCCTTCCCATGGCGTAGATCTCCTCTTTATTCGCACAATCGGATGGCGTAGAATGGCATAGCATTACATGGCATAGCATTGTGTCGAGGATCAACGCGTAGCATGACATAGCATGGCGTGGCGACAGGGGCTTCTGCGGCCCAAATCGACGAATCGACACCGAATGTGTCATCACTTCCGATGGTTTATTCCGGGGTCCATGTTCTAGATTTTGGAGCTTATTTGAAAGGACCCAAAACCATGCCGGGGATGGCACTCGAAATAATGACGCCAGCGCTGCAGCGGGAGCACGATTCGTAACGAGCGGAAGCGCGGAAATGGGGCCAGCATTGCAGTGGGAGCACGATACGGAACGAGCGGTAGCCCGAAAATGAGGCCAGCGCTCTAGCGAGAGCAGCCTTTTGAAAACAACAAGCGCGGAAGCGCGAACATGAGGACGCGTAGCCTGACATAGCGTGGCGTGGCGACGCCCCAAAGTGGGGGGGGGCTTGTGCGGCCCAAAAGATAATCGAATCGACACCGAAAACGTAATCATTTCCGATGGTTTATTCCGGGGTCCATTAGATTTTGGGGCCTATTTGGAAGGACCCAAAACCATGTGGCATGGCGCTGGAAATAATGACGCCAGCGTTGCAGCGGGAACACGATTCGGAACGAGCGGAAGCGCGGAAATGAGGCCAGCGTTGCAGTGGGAGCACGATTCGGAAGGAGCCGTAGCCCAAAATTGAGGCCAGGACTTCAGCGTGAGCCGCATTTCGGAAAACAAACTCAGCGCGGAAGCGCGGAAATGATAACGCGTAGCATGACATAGCATGGCGTGGCGACGCCCCAGGGGGGGGGCTTCAAATTTACGAATCGAGATCGGATGTGTAATCACTTATCACTTCCGATGGTTTTTGTCGGGTTTTTGTTTGATTCTGAGGCCTATTTGGAAGGACCGAAAACCATGCCGTGGCATGGCGCTGGAAGTAATGACGCCAGCGCTGCAGCGGGAGCACGATTCGGAACGAGCGGAAGCGCGGAAATGAGGCCACCGTTGCAGCGGGAGCACGATTCGGGGCGAGCGGTATGCCGAAAAGGAATCAGCCCTTCAGTGAGAGCAGCACTTTGAAGAAAAAACAAGCGACAACCCAACGACCGGGAGTCTTGTGTGTAAAGAACCAATTCGCGGAGGGGGGCCGGACACTCCGCAGACGCCACCAGGGGAGAGAGGAGAGTAGTATTCACATTGTGGATGAAGTGGGAGGGAGGGAGCAGGAGGAGGAGGAGGAGATGGAAAGGGAGCTGCTGGGGAAGCCAGAGGATCGTATTCGGGCGATTCTGTGCAGCCGACCGGTGTTTCTGCAGCTTACACGGGGCGGAGCGGAGGGGAGGCTGCAGAGGAGGAAGAGGACTGGCCCTTCACCCCACGACCGAGCCTCTGCGGCATCTTCGTCGTCGTCGTCGTGCTCCACCTGGTCTGCCCTAGTGGCGAATCGTCCCGGATGGCCTATAGGCCCACCAAATAATCAGAGCTTCTTGTGGTGTGCGCGAGATGTTTTGTTGGTACATCGGTGTACTTTCTGTTCTGAGAGCACCGCTGTTGTTTTTAGATGTTTATGTAGAACATGTCGTGGTAGGCCTTTACGAATGCCGGGACGGTCGGTCCCTGCCCAACTCCTCGAGGGAGGTCCCGCGCAGAGCGGACGCAGTCGACCGCGCATTCGGTGGTGAGCCCGGGGGCGGTGGCTCTCGCGAAGCCCGCGCCTGGGGCTCGCCGCGGAGGGGAGGGTCGGGGCTCGAGAGACGGGGGCAGTGCAGAAGGGGGTCGGCCAGAGCGCGGGATTCTGCAGCATCCTGCAAAGCCAGGGGTGCATTGACCCGGGTTTGGGTGCAGAGGATTGACCCTGGAGGGCTTCTCCGAAGGGCTTCGGCGATTCGTCCTCCTCCTCCTCCTCCTCCTCCTCCTCCTCTTCCTCCAATCCTTATTCCTTATTAGAATATACTCCTACTCCCCCCTCAGGCCGGCAGATAGCGGGCGCATCCGGGTGGTCCCATCCTAACTTGTAAAAAACAATACAAAATCAACATTTTTCTTATTTTTCCTCTCGACATGGACGTCCTGTCGTCCACGGCGATAATCCATTGCAGAAAATACCACAAAGAGTACACGCGCGCGTTCATGTCAGAATCCTACCGAACACCGTGTGTTTGCAAACATTTCAACATACAAACATCAAAAACCCAATGCTTTTTTTTCACAAAACATTGTACAAATTTCCCGCCCGGGCTCTCTTGCTGAAATTATAGGAAAACCATAGGAATCTTAAGAATTCTGTCAAATCCAGCGATTTCACGTCATCGCGCGGTGCACTCGCGATGCTCTGTCATGCACCCAGGCCGCGAATCCTGTGCAAAAAATACTACAAAGAGCACACTCGCGCGTTCATGTCAGAATCCTACCGAATACCGTGTTTTTGCAAGCATTTCAACATAAAAACATCAAAAACCCAATGCTTTTTCACAAAAATGCTTTGGGGTGTCCTGTCAGACCGTCGGGCTTCCTCCGGCCACCTCTGGCTTCCTGCGGTGTACCGGGCCATTCTCGACTCGTCTGGCAATGCGTGCGCGGCATTCAACACGCGCTCGCCAGTTCCCGTCGGCAACCGCCATCGCGGCCGCATCAGCTGTACCAAACCGGCTGGCCGGTGTGACTTCGGCCCCCAGTTGTGCCAGCTTTGCTTCTTATGTATGTTGAGGGAGGGCGGGTGGGACTGGGCATGCCATGCTTGACTCGCTCGAGCTGGCTTGTGACTCATGCCTAACCTGACACTGTCGTTACACTCCACCCCTCACTACACACACATGCACACTCCTGTCATACTAATAATACTGAGAAGCTGCTTATCTAAGCTACATTAAGCATACTATAAACCTCTATTCGTAATCGCTATACTGACAACACTCTGTCCCTGAACTCCTGTCCCTCACGACGTGCTGTGTCCCCTCACCATCATATTACCCAGCGCACAGACCTGCGTCTCCTCGCTGTCGCCAATGCATCCCTGCTCACCGCCCTCACACTCACTCTTCTCTCCGCAGTACAGTAGTCACCGAGAATCTACTTGACCCACCGACGCACTCACGTACGTCCTGTCTCAGTGACACCCCTCCTTCACTTACTCGTCTCACTTCTCTCTCGTCGTTCCATATTCCCGCCCCTCCTCCCCTGCCACGCCCCTCCGCCCCACCACGTCCTCCTAGCCCCTCCCTCGGGTCGCCTACTTGCCCGGGGGGACACCGTCCAACTGACCCGGGTTGTGTGCCACCGACCTGGGTTCGGAGTGCGGTCCGTGGCCCGCGCCCGCGGGGGGCCGCCTCGGAGGGGAAGAGAGGGGAAAGGTGCCACGAGCTGCCTGGGCGCCCCTTGGGTGCCCTGCAGTGGGCCGTCCGCGGGCCTCGGGGGACCGTCCGAGAACACGAGTCCAGGTAAAAGTCGGCGGCCAGCGAGGGGATCAGTTCAAAGACGACGACCTCGACGACGACGACGACGACGACAACCTCGAAGTCTACGATGACAGCGGCGCTGTTTACGACGACGGCGACGACGCCGAAGGCAGCTGCACCGAAGGCGCGCCATGTGTCGTGCTGAGAAGCTGGTATTTATTTTGGGTCGGCAGGGAGCGAGTGGGAGAAGTGCGAAGGAGGAGGCCTTCTCGGAAGGCGGCGGGGCGTCTCAGAAGCCCTCGGGCCTTCGGGAAGCTGCCTGTGTCTTCGGGGAAGGCTCAGACAACGTTTCAGAAGGCCTGGGGACTTCCGAGCCTTTTGAGACGGCCTTCTCCTTATCATTTCCCCCCTGGACTAACGCCGAAAAGTAATTGCCACAAACGGATCCTGAGGTCGGCACGATCGAAACGGGTACGGTATGTGGGCATGCTGCCCAACGGCAGTTCCTCTGCATTTTGAACAGGACTGGCTGCCCTTGCCGCCGCGGGCGTTGTCCGTTTGAGACAGAGGGCGGTCTGCCCAACAGCAGCCGCTGTCGGTTTTGAACACCGCTTGTTGTTGGGCGTCGCACTTTTCTCTGTGTACCCCTGTCGGGCGTCCACACGGGGGGAAGCGGGTCCTGAGGTTTTGCGTGTGTTCGGGCCCCAGGGCCCTCTACGGGCCCCAGGCCCGGGACGGTGAACTACAGTGGGGGCCCATGCCAAGAAACACCCTGCTTGCCTCCAGGGTGCTCTGGGGTTCTTGGGTTTCGATGGTTTTGCCGTTAAAGCGCGACGCTCCCGCACAACCAATCCATGGACGTTTTGGGTTCTCAGGGTTGGGTTTCTTTTTGACGGGTCCCCACTGTAACGCAGTGTGTGTGCGTTCACCCCTTGAGTTCCGCGGACGGCGCGCAGCCCGCGTCGGCCTTGGCTGCACCGCCTGCGTCGTGCTGGAAAGGTTTGGGCGAGCACACGTCTGCGCCATCGCGCGTTCTGAGGATCGTCGAGCGAGGCGTAGGTGGAAGGGTGGCAGCAGGAGGAGCGAGGCGTAATCTGGAAGGGTGGATGGTCCCTCGTGGTCGGGCCCCCCTGCTGCACTCGGGAGGAGCAGCGGGGTCCCAGGGGAGGGCCCCCGCAGGCCGAGGAGCTGTCCTCCCCAGGTCGCCTTCCCCCGCCGTTGTTCGGAGGAGCTCCGGAGACTGGAGCGTAGGCACTGCCAGTGGCGGGGTGTTTGTTCAGTCCCACGACATTGTGAGGGTCGGACAGGACGTCGGGGTGGTGTGGTGTATACGGTTTCCCCGTCTCCCACGGGAAACAACGAAACATGTATACGCCAGGATCCCGCATACACCTGGATCCGCGTTCCTGTGCGAATTTCAGCGCAGGGTCGGACAAAGCGTCGGTGTATAGAGTTCGTTCACCGAGCGCGTTCCACTACTCGCAAAGTGCCTATTCGCAAACGTCCGAAAGACACATGTCTGCCCGATGTAGTGTATCGCAGATCCGTCGCGGCGAATCAAGGCCATTTGCGAGTAGTTATTCTGCGAGTAGTGGAGCGCGCCCGTCCACGGAAGGCCAGAGGTAGGGGAAATAGGGTTCCAGGCTTGACAATTGGGGTCCGAGTAATTCGATGTAATTTGGGCGTGTCCCTCTACAGGAGGGCTAGGCAAAAATAGTAACAACAATAGTCTGGGTGCACTGTTTTTGATTTGTTCTTTTTTTTACTTATCTAGTTCTCCAAAATCCGCATGTGGAGGGACATGCCCGACCTAGAATTAGATGGGGTCGGTGTGTCGCACCCCCGACTTTCTTAAATCAACCTCGCCGATGCGCTGCCGATGCGCCTGCCATGATGTGCACTCATCCGATCCCATCGACTCTGGCCCCGCCTGGGAGGCTTTCATTCTTTATTCCAGCACCTCAGCTACAGCGCTGGCATCAGCGCGTGCGAGAAGGGCGGGCAGTGGCAGTGGGCGCTTTCGCTGTTTCGGGGGCTTCGGGAGGCAAGGTTGGACCCCAACGTCGTGAGCTACGGCGCCGGGATCAGCGCGTGCGAGAAGGGCGCGCAGTGGTGGCAGGCGCTTTGCTTGCTCCGGGACATGACGGAAGAGAAATTACAGCCCGGGTGCTGCCACAGGTGTCCCCAGCCCAAGGTGGCAAACATATTTCATCTCTTAACAAACCCTAGTATAACAGAAGACTCTCCAACTAGATGGTAGTATTTATCAGAGTGACGGGGCCGAACGGTCATTCATTGTCCCTGGGTGCGCGGCTGAAGTGGAAATCCGAGGTGATGATTCTGCTTGTTACATTATTGTTGTTGTTGATGCTGTTGTTGTCGGTGTCCCCCCCGCGACCCACCCGCGTCCCACCCCGCGACCCAACCCGCGACCCAATCCGCGACCGACCCCGCGACCCAACCCGCGACCCACCCGCAACCCAACCCGCGACCCACCCGCGACCCACCCGCGACCCATCCGCGACCCCACCCGCGACCCACCCGCGACCCACCCCGCGACCCATCCGCGACCCACCCGCGAACCACCCGCGACCCACTTGAGACCCACCCGCGACCCATCCCGCGACCCACTCGCGGCCCACCCGCGACCCACCCGCGACCGATCCACATTGGTTTGAAGATAAAAACTGCGCCTGCGGCGGGCCTGTCGTCTAATTTGTGGAACGTTGGCGCCTGCGGCGGGCTTCTCCAGAGTCTCGCAGACTGCCGACGTGCCCACCGCCCCCTCACTCTTATCCGCATCTGCGGGGTGCTACGTATATCTACAGGTAGCTTGAATAAGATTCATCGACACAGCAATATTTACTCTCCACAGCAGCTCTCACGAGGCCCAGCAGGACCCGCAACGGCTCCGAAGTGGAGCGAGGAGAGGCTGGAAGCACCCGGCTGGGCCGGGGGCACCTTTGGCAACACCCGAACAGCGGAATGTGGCGTGCCACAACGCTGGAATCAGCGCGTGCGGGAGGGGCGAGCAGTGGTTGTGGGCTCTGTGGTTGCTTAGTGGGTCGTCGGGTGCGAAGCTGGATCCCGACGTCGTGACCTACAATGCCGGGATCAGTGCCTGCGAGAGGTGCGGGGAGTGGCAACAGGCGCTGTGTCTGTTCAGGGAGATTGTGAGTGTGGCGTTGGAACCGACTCGTGTCAGCTTCAATGCTGGACTCAGCGCGTGCGAGAAGGGCAAGAAGTGGCAGCATGCGCTGTCGCTGCTCAGGGAGATGGTGGAAGTGAAGGTGCCGCCGAATGAGGTCAGTTTCAGTGCTGGAATTAGCGCATGCGAGAAAGGTATGCAGTGGCAGCAGGCGTTGTTGTTGCTTGGAGCGCTGCAGGAGGCAGTGGTGGAGCCCAACGCCATGACCTGCAGTGCCGGAGTCATCGCGTGCGAGAGGGGCCGGCAGTGGCAGCGGGCGCAGTCGGTGCTGCATGAGCTGTGGGCCGCGAATGTGGATAGGGGAACGAACAATGACATAAACATGACAACTCGGAGGTCCGCGCGGATTTCTCGGATCGGCGCTGGATCCCCCTGGCGGCGCCTCTGGCGCCGCCGAGTTTTTCTGTTTATGTCATTCTTCGTTCCCCTAGCGGAGCCGAACGTCATCTGCTTCAGTGCGCTCGCCAGCGCGTGCGCCAGTGCCAGGCAGTGGCAGCAGGCGCTGGCGGTCTTCGGCGGTCTCCTGCAGGCGGGGCTGCAGCCTGACGCCGCCACCTACCTGGCCGGCATCACCGCATGCACGGGGGGCGGTGTGTGGCAGCACGCGCTGTCGCTGCTGAGGGACATGCGCGGGGCGCGCGTGGAGGTCTGCCAGAGCTGCTACAACGCCGGCATCGGTTCGTGCGAGGAGCCAGAGCATCCGGGGAGGAAGCGGTGCCTCTCGCCCTCCGCCCGTTCTCCTTGTTTTCTCGGGCCTCCTCGGAGGCCCTCGTCGCCACCGGTGGATTCGCTTCCGGATGCTGGTCAGAGTGTCCCCCGGAAGAGGTCCGGGGAGTATCGGTATCGGTGCTCTCTAGTCTCCCCAGAGGAGAAATCAGACAAGCACGACCCTGTCGATTCGGATGCAGCTCCTGGGAGGTCAAATTCTGATTCAGCCCCGGACCGAAATCCGTCTCAATCCCGCTGAATCCCGTTTACTCCGGCTTCATCCCGCTTATCATCGCTTCATGCGGCTGAATCCCGCTTGATCCGAGGCCCTGGCGTAGCAGCCCCCCAATGGGGCTTATTCCTCCTTAGTCCTTCCGACGAGAACCTCCCAGCAGTTGCCTCCTAATGTCGAGGGTCCCCACGGATCTGTTTGGGATTTGCGCTGGGGCCCCTCCAGCGGCGCCTCCGGGGCGTCACCCTGGCGCGCTCCGCGCGCCAGGGCCCCGGGTTCGCAGAGGGGGTGGGGCGAGGAAGCGCACCCAGCTGGATGCTGACGTTTCCTCCTTCCAGAGCCGTGAGGAGCGGCTTGCCTCCCTCCCAACCCTGCCTTCTGCTCCTACCCCTGCCCTTCCTTTTTCGCCCCCCCGACAGGGAAGGGAGGGAAAAACACCCGGACCCGATACCCGGCGTTCATTTGCACGGCCCTGGGCGTTTCTTCCAAGCCCTGCCCTGTTCGGCTCCTGTTGTGGGTGCGATTCCTGAACGGCTTCGCGTGTCGGGGTGATTCTTAACCCATCGGTCGTTGAAAGTAGGTATGTTTGGAGTCCCAGATTCCGATCTACTCTGAGCGCCTTTCTACTTCAATGATCGAGTGGCTTCACCTTTTCCGTCCTCCCAAGGGGGGGCAGGCGGAGCCCAATTTGCTTCCAACGCTGTCCTGCTTCGGGCTTCTACCTGCTTCTTCCGACCGTTGGGTTCGGGGGGGGATTTTCTGCCCTCTAAGCAGGGAGGGCTGGTCTGGCGCCGATCCTGGGTGTGGTGCTCCCGGTGTTCTGTGTGGCGCCCTCCCGAGGAGGGGCGGCAGTGGCAGCGGGCGGTGGCGTTGCTCGGGGAGCTTGGGCGCTCTCTCGAGACGGACGTGGTCTCCTATGCAGCTTCGCCGCCGCGCCCCTCCGTCCGCCCCCACGCTGACGTCGGGCATGGATGGTCCTCTTCAGGGGGAAGTTTCGACCACAGTCCAACAATAGTCTGGGGACGATGCTTGCATCATCATTCTTGACTCTTTTGGAGTTTGCTCTTGACCATTCTTCATGTGTCTCCCCGAGCCCGGCTGCAGAAGGACCTGCGCGACCGAACTCCCTCGCGCGGGGGGGGGGGGTGCTGGCCCAGGGAGGGGGGACGATTCTACAGTCCACCCGCATCGTAAAGACGGGCACCTTTCCCAAGGGTAGCCCTGCACCCCTGCCCCTTCGGCCCAGCCTCAGCGATTTTCGTTGGCCAGCCTCGCTCGGAAAGCGTTACCCGCCGGTCGTTGAGAGCAGGTCTGTTTGGAGTCCCAGTCTCCGAGCCACCCTGAGCACCTCCCCGCGTCAACGATCGAGCGGCTTCGCCTCCCCCGTCCTCCCAAGGGGGAGCGGGCGGAGCCCGATGTTTTGTCCCTCCACGCCTCCCTGCTCCTTCCGCGTTCGACCCGCTCCTCCCGACCGATGCGTATCATGCATGGGCCTCCATGGTGGCCTTCATGGGCTCCACGTGTGGGATCCCCCCTGGATGCCCATATATGGGCTCCTCTATACCCGCATGTGCGTATTCAGCGTATTTATACTCGTACATGCGGTCGGGATGCCAAGGAGCCTGCAGGGCCCTCGGCATCCCGACCGCGCATCCTCACGATGCGCGTCGGCCGTGCCCCCTGAGAGTGCCCGCTCCTCGCCGGGCCGGGGACTCTTGTCGGAGGGCACCAACTATACACCAACACCAATCCCGGCCCAGGATCGGTGTTGGTGTATAGTTGGTGCCTTCCTATCTTGGGCGCGCGCGGGGCCGCCCTCGGGGGGGCCCGCCGCCGAGGCGGCGGCCGCCTCCGGGGCCGCGCGGCCCCCCGAGCCAGGCCTTCCCGTGCCGCTCTCCCCCCTCAGAACGGTGCGGGCCTCCATGACGTCGTGTCGGGCCGGACGAAAGGGGGGGATTGGGAAAGGGGGGGTTACGGAATCTGCTGCATGGAGCTAGTTTCGGCCTCACCGAGGGGCCCACTCCTCGATACTTCGCCGCCTCCGGCGCCGGGAGGCGCGGGGAAAATCAGCTACGTGAGCCGGTTCTCAAGCCCCCCCTTTGTTATCCCCCCCTTTCGCCCGACCCGATCGTGGCCAGTCTTGGCCTCAAACCGGGCCCGTGCCTCTGCAGGGGGGATATTCAAAAGTAGTCAAAAAGCAGCAGTCTGGGGACTGCTGTTCGAGTATTGCTGGGCATCTCTGGGGTATGTTTGGGGTATCTTTGATTTCTCGTCCACAATCCCCCCGTAGGGGGACACGCCCGACTCAAGGCCAGTCTTAGCCAGCGCATGATTCAGGAGGAAACTCCTGGAGGCCTCGCGCGGCGCGCGATAGCTGCATCATGTAGTCCACTCGTCGGCTCCGTAAGCTATGGGTCTCTACGCTCGCGCGGCGCTGCTCCGGCGTCCGCCCGACGCAGATCCGAGGCCATTCCGGCGCAGTCCGACGTGAGCCCGACGTAGATCCGACGTGGACCCGACGCACATCGGGTCCCAAGGTTCGGGGTTGGACAGACCTCCTACCCTGACACGTCGATTGAGGAATTGGCCGTTTTCGGTTCGCGAGAGGGCGTCGCGGCCCTCATTTGTGCGGGTTCAGGTCCGTCGGTTTCGGTCCCAGGCCGTTTTCACTAAGGGGAGGTTTACTAAAGGGAGGTTTGTCCAACGCCGCAAGGCGCCGCGCGAGGCCTCCAGGATTTTCCTCACAGCATGGCTCTCTGGCAGGATGACGGAGCCCCCCCCCCTGTCACCCTGCCACGTCGACTCCCGGCTTGCCCTCTTGGCGTGTCCTCGAGGGGCTGCTGCGGCCGCCCTTTGCCTTTGCGGGCCTGCGCCCGCCGGCCGGCCCTGGTCCGGGGCCGTCTTCGCTATGGAGCGTGTCCTGCCATCACGGGAGGGCTCGTCCACCTCAGGGGCAGAACATAGGGGGGGATAGGCTTCAGGGGGGGATGCATCGGCGTCCAATCGCCCATTGATCGCCGATAGGGGCCCGATAGCCCCAACCTGCCCTGGAAGGTGCGGGCTGACCATCGGGGCCCCATCGCCAATCTGTCGGCGATGTATCGCCGATTCTAGGTCGATGCATCCCCCCCCCTATCGTTGCCCCTCACCACCCCGATCTTCAGGACGCGCGTTGCAGTGGAGACCCTTGCCAAGAAGCACCCTGCCTGCCTTCAGGGTGCTCTGGGTTTCTTGGGCTTCGATGGTTCTGCTATGGAAAGCGCGACACTCCCATACCAAAAATCAGTGGATGCCCTGAGGATCATCGAGCGAAGCGTACTGGAAGGGTGGCAGTAGGAGGAGCGAAGCGAAGCGTACTGGAAGCGTACTGAGCACGCGTTCTGAGGATCGCGCCGCATTGCCGATGCATCGGCGATGCGTCGCGATCGGGGGCCCGTTCTTCTCCGTTCCGCCGTCGGCGATGCATGGGCGGTGTGCCGGGATCCTCCGCTCACACGCGCACTCCTGCTCTCATGACGCATGCACCAGCAAGGACGCACGCATACATACACACACTCACATTCACACACTCGCACACACACACACACACACTTACACTCACACACTCGCACACTCACACTCACACACACAGACGCAGACGCACACACACACATCGACACAGGCACAAACGCACACACACAGACACGCAGTCGCAAACACGCAGACACACAGGCACAGTCCCACAGGCATACAAACACGCAGACACAGCCACGCACACACACACACACGCACACACGCACGCAACACGTATCACACAATACACAATACACACAACACACAACACACAACACACACCACACACAACACACGCACACACGACACACAACACACAACACACACTTCGCACACAACACGCAACACACAACACACAACACCCACAAAACGCACACCACACAACGCACGCACACCACACACACACACACTCCTTTGTTGCCCCGTCCACTCAGTTCGCTCTAGGTCTCGGGTCACAATGGACAGCTATTTCCCACGATTATTGTTTCGAAAACGAGCACAAGTTATCCTTCTCCTTTCCGTTTCGTCCTCCTCGCCCTCGTCGTCCTGGTCTTTCACGTCCTCCTCTTGTTTTCCTCGTCCTCGTCTTCGTCCAACACATCGCTGCCCAGTTCCTCGCGGTGCGAGATCACAACGGCTCACGAGCTCGAGTTCTTCACGAAAAGGTGCAGACGCTGGAGCTGGCCACACCAGGCTCAGCCCCATTCGCCATCTACGGACAGCCTTGGGGCACCCTTGGTACCCTTGGGAGTCTCGAGGACCAGCTTTGGGCCATCTCGGAGGAGATCTACCAGAGGAGGGTGTTCCTTAAGCTCGGTCCCCCCCAGGGAGCCAACATGTGGCAAACACCGTAGTAACATCAATGACTTGTACCTTCTCGCCGAGGCCTCTTGGGGCGCCTTGTGTGCCTCTGGGGGACTCTTGGGCCGTCTTGGGGGTCTCTTGGGAGCCCCTTGGGGCATCTTGGAGGCCTCTTGGGGGCCTGCTGGGGCCTCGTGGGCGCCTCTTGAGGCCCTGTTGGAGCACCCTTCGGAGCCAATATGGGCTATCTTTGAGGAGATCGATCAAAGGAGCGGAGCTCCCTCGTCAGACCGCGCAGCGCAGATGCACGCAAGCGCACACGTACCGGCCGCCAGCCACCAGCCAGCGCGGCGGGCAACGCGGCAGCCGGCGCGTGCAGGAAGTGCGGGCAGTGGCGGCATGCCCTGTCGCTGTTCGAGGGGACGTCGGCGGCGCGCACAAGCGGGGCCCCCGTCGCCCAGCCATTGCCCATGGGAGCCGTGGCCCCGCCCCCCGCCCATGGAACGTGCGTTGTCTCTGCGTTGGGCCTGTCCCTCCTCCCTCCTCCCTCCTCCCTCCTCCCTCCTCCCTCCTCCCTCCTCCCTCCTCCCTCCTCGCTGACCTTGCGGCGACGGGTCCCCGACTCCTGGCCGCTGTCTCCCCCAGCGTCGGGAGGGAAGAGAGGACACAGGCGCAGAGAATCGTCGGTTCCCAGGCAGACGTGGGAAACCATGGGAAGTAGGGGGGGAGACGAACATGCGGAAATTCGGTGGAAACCTGTGGGCAATCGTGGGACGTGTGTCTTATATTTGTTTGTGGGCCCCTCCTCCCCTCTGGACTGAGCCAGTCCCCACCAGTCGGCCCCCCCCCTCGCGCAAACGGGGTGGTGCGAGGGGCCCACGAGGCTTCCACGATTGGACGCCAGGAGGCCTTTGAAGGAGCGCCTTGCCTCTTATACCGTCGGACCGAGGTCGGTTCGGGGAGGGTGCCCTGATGTTCTTCATGCATGTTGGATCTTCTCGTGCATCCTGGGGGCGGTACCCTTGGATGTTCTTTCTGGTTTGGGCCAGCGAAGGGCCTCGTGTTCTCGAGGGATCTGTTTCTGGCCCAGGTCCGACTGTGCACGTCCCCCCGCCTTCTTCGAAGGCTGCCTTCTCAGCAGGCCGCCCCCCTCGCGCTACCCCCCTTGTGCACGCCGCCCAGGATGCGGTGCGCAGGCGTGGAGGCGAACGCTGTCACCTACTGTGCTAGGGTCATCGTGCACGAGCAGGGCGGACATTGGCGGCAGGTATCATCACTCATCGGGGAGTTGTGGCGGACGAGCCTGGAGCACAACGAATTCTGCTACACTGCCGGCATCCGAGCCTGCGACGAGAACGGTGCGTGGCAGCAGGCGCTGCTCTTGCTCGACGAGATGCCGCTGGCGAGGCTGGAGCCGAACGCGGTCTGCCTCAAGGCCGGCATCCGCTCCTGCGAGAGAGGCCCCGGGGCGGCGCGCGCAAGGGGGGGCGGCCCGTCAGAAGCAGGGGGCGGCCTTTCAGGCAGGGCCCAGGGGCTCTCTATGACAGTGGGGAGACCCGTGCCAAGAAACACCCTGCTTGCCTCCGTGGTGCCCTGGGTTTGTTGGGTTTCGATTGTTCTGCGATGGAGAGAGCGTGACGTGCCCACACCAAAAATCAGTGGACGTCCCGGGGTCTCAGGGTTGGGTTTCTTGGCTCCTCCTGTAGCATTAAGTCGGGCTCCCTCTACAGGGGCTTCGAAAATATTCGAAACATAGTCGGGGGACTCTTTTTGAGTGTATTGGTGAACCTTTGGTGTTGCTGGAGTGTGTTTGATTGTTCGCCCACAGTCCGCCTCTCGGGGGACGCGCCCGACCTGACTGCAGCAGCCGTCGCAGCCTGTCCCACAAGGCCTCCGCCGTCTGCCCCCCCCCCGCCTCTCACCTCCGGGGGCGGCAAAGAGGGGGGTGATGACTGGGGGTGCACCCCGCCCCTCTTGGACCCCCCCCCTCTTTTGGCCGCCCCCGACGCCTCCGTGACGGCGCGTGCCCTGGGCGCGCCGGGCCACGCCGCGGCGCCCTCCTTGGGCGAGGACGGCGGAGGCGCGGGGCCCCAGGCTTGGCGTCGGGCACGTCCCCGTAACAGCAGGACTGCCCGAGGATGGGCAGAAGACACGCATAGTCTGGGGCTAGGATGCTCCAACCTACTTTAGCCCTGATCGCCAGGAAGAGTTTCGAGCGCCAAGAAAGGAACCGGAACTCAAGGGTTTTCACGTGTCGGGCCTTGGGAGACACTCGCCCGACACTGTTTCGACACTGTTTCGACACTCTTTAGGCACTTTTTTTCGGGTGCTCGAAATTATTTCTGGGATGTGGTCCGTAAGTAGGATGGGAACAACATAAGTCTGGGGACGATGTCTTAGTATTTGTTGTTTTTACCATGTTTGCACCTGTCTGGGCTATTGTTGGCCGTTCTTCCAGAGTCCGCCTGTAGGGGGACATTCCCGACCTGGCTCCAGGCCTGCGCGTGGGCGCCATCGTCCGCGGGACTCTCTCGGCTCCGTCCCCTCCAGAGCGGCCTGCAGCGGCAGAGAGCGCATACACTCGGGGAACGGACAATGACAGAAGCATGAAAACTCGGAGGCGCTGGGGCTCCGAGTGTTCCTCGGATCGCGCTGGGGCTCCCTGACGGCGCCTCCGGCGCCGCCCCTGGCGCGCTCCGCGCGCCAGGGAGGGGGGTCAGCGCGGATCCGAGAAGTCCGCGCGGACCTCCGAGTTTCTTCTGTTTCTGTCATTGTTCGTTCCCCTATATATATATATATACACCCTTGGCCGCCCGCCCCCGCTTCGCAAGAGTGGCCTCTTGCAGGGTCGTCGTCTTGCACCTGCCCCAGACAGTGCTTTGACTCAGGGGTTCTTCCAGGGGCAGCGATGGGGGGGGATTGGCATAGGGGGGGATGCATCGACCCCCAATCGCCCCCTGATCACCGATAGGGGCCTGACAGCCCCAACCCGTCCTGGAAGGCGCGGACCCGCTCGTGGCGGGGCCCATCGTCGATCGGTCGACGGTGTAGCGCCGATTCTGGGTGGAGGCGTCCCCCCCCCATGCCAGCCCCCCCCCTATCGTTGCCCCTCCTTCTCGCTTGCACTGCAGGCGAACTCGAAGAGCCGGTGTCGGTCCAGCTGGCCAGGCGGTGTCGGTGCAGGGAGGAGGGCCGCCCTGCAAAGGGCCGCCAGAGCAGCGCAGGGCAGCGCAGGTCAGGGCAGGTCTCTCGGCCCCCCCTGCGCCAGTCCCCCCCTATCGTTGCCTTAAGGTGTTCCAGCCTGCTTTAGCCTTAACATACTTGAAGAATTTCGAGCACCAAGGGAACATGCCGAAGCCGGAGGCTTTTCACGTCGGGCCCTGGGAGGCGATAGTTACTCGTTCGACAGTGCTTCGATACTTCTCCGGGTGCTCGAAATCATTTCTGGGATGTGGTCCGTAAGTACGATCGTGCCCTCCCGTCCTCCTGCTCCCCCCCACAACCCTCCCCCCCGTGGCCCCCGTTTGCTCATCCCGACCGGCGGACCGCGCCCACCTCATCCGCCCCGTGCCCCCCGTCTGCTCGCTCACTCCGACCGACCGACCGACCGTGCCCCACCCCTCCGCCCCGTGGCTCCCGTCTGCTGATTGACACCGACCAACCGACCGTGCCCCCCCCCCCTGGCCCGGCCGTGCCTTCCTGTCCCCCTTCCCGCGAGGTCTTATTCCTGCTGGCGTTCCGGAGGAGGAGGAGGAGGAGGAGGGAGGAGGAGGTAGGAGGGGAGGAAGGAGGGAAGGGGGGAGGTAGGGAGGTGTCTAGGAGTCTAGGAGAGGAGGAGGAGTGTAGGAGGAGGGAGGAGGAGGAGTCTAGGAGGAGGAGAGGAGTAGTGTAGGAGGGGGAGGAATGGGAGGTGGAGGAGGGTGGAGGAGGAGGAGGAGTGGTTGGAGGAGGAGGAGGAAGGAGGAGGTGGAGGAGGAGAGGGAGAAGATGGAGGAGGAGGAGGAGGAGGAGGGGAGAGAGGGGGAGGGCAGAGCGAAAGCCCTGGCCCTCGGCGTGGCGGTGTCCGCCCGCGGAGGGCGCTCGCCGCCCGTGGCCGCCCGTCGCCGCTCTGGGGGCCCCCCCGGGTGGCGGCGTCTTTGGCCGGGCGTCGCCGCGCTGCCCCCGCCGCCGCGCTCTGCAGGGCGTTGCAACACGACACGAAGATGATCGGCTTGTTTTCCACCGCCACCACCATAAGTTGGAGGGGGAGGGGGTCTCCGCCTCCCTTCTTCTCCCACTCCTCTCCTCTCACTTCCTCCCCCTCCTTTCTTGTTCTTTTCGTCCTCCTCTCTCCAACTCAATTATGGTGGTGGTGGTGGAAACACGCATTAGAAGTGGGACAACAGGATTCGGGCAAACTCGAAATCACAGCGCATCGTGGGATTGGAGGCTTGTTATTGGGGGCCGCGGCGTTGAGCGGTTGCCCACGTTGATTTTTGGCTCACGTAGGATTAAGCATCTTGAGGTTTAGTTGGGGCGTTGGTTTTTAGTATCTTTCATCGGGCTATGTCAGGCTTCACCAGTTTTTTTTTTTTTTTTTTTTTTTTTTTTATCCCCCCCTTTTTGTTTTTTTTTGGGGGTGTGGTTTTTTGTGTGTGTGTTTTTTCCCCCCTTTGGGGGGGGTTTTTTTTGGGTTGGGGGGGGGGGGGGGGGCTAGGGGAACAAAAACACACAGAGACAATTCATCGTGGATTCCCCAGAAAATATGGGAAGATATGGGAAGTGGGCGGGAAGACGGAAACCCAGAAAATATGAGAACATATGGGGAACCTTTTTATTTGTGTATTTATTTGTATGTCCTTGGGCCCCTTGAACTGCTTCTAGGCCTCCCAGATGGGGCTGGAGTAAGTGCACCGCCCATCAGACCGCCCCAACGCAGCCCGAAGACGCAAGTTGACCGTCGATTTCCAGGGAGGTTCGACGTCTGTTCAGGGGAGCCTCGGGCGGCGACACTGAAATCAGCTTTTCCTGCATTTGGACCGCGTGGGGACCGCAATTGGCGCATCCTCTTGCTTCTCCTCTCCCCTCCTGTTCCCCCTCCTCCTCCTCCTCCTCCTCCTCCTTCCCGTTCCCGCGAATCTGGTCCAAATCCGGTCCAAACTTGTTCCAAATCCAGTCCAAAGCGGGCCCAGCTCGGACAGCGCCGGGGGCCACGCGGGCTCCCATGGAAGGGACACCAAAGTGAGGGGGGGCAGGGAAACCTCGGAAACGCATACGTGGAACCCTTTCTCCCCCAACCCGAAACTCTGGTCTTCGGGCTGGGTTGGGGTGGTCTGGTGGGCAGTCATGGATGGGGTCGGGGAGTCGCGCCGCATCCGCGATGCATCGGCGATGCGGCTCGGTGTGGAGCCCGACTCTCCACGCCGACGGCGCCAGTGTATCGGCGATGCATCGGCGATGCGGCGCGATCCTCCGGCCCCATCTACTCCGACCCCAGCTAGGATGCCTCTGTTGTGCTATATGTATATATATATATATATATTGTTTCGCATCGATTTGCATTGCTTTGCACTGCTTTGGTTTCGCTCTGCACCACGCGGATTGCACTGCATGGGTTGTACCGCCTGGGTTGCACCATTTCGATTGCACCACCTGGGTTGCGCCGCACCCAACGTTGCCTCGGCATCGCTCGGACGTGCTTTCTCGGCGAGGACCATCGAGGAACATTCTGGATCATCGAGCCAAGACAAACGCACGAAACCCAAACATAATCAGGGAACTGATGTCCGAGCGATGACGAGTTGCAAGACATCGCAGTCTGGGTTCCACGTTGGCGGTTACATTTGTTGTGCCATCGCCACCCTGCACCGGAGGGCCGCCTCACTCACGCCACCCCCTTCTTCAGCCACGCGCAGAGGGGTTACAGTACATGGACAACGTACAGTATTCGAACCCTCAGACACTTGAGGTGGATGCTCATCACCCTTCCCCGCCCCCGAAATCAGTGCAGTTTTTAGCATCGGTGGTGGTTTGGGTGTTCGAATATTTCTTTCCACCCACGCCCTCTCCGTTGCCGCACCCTCAATATTTAAGTCTTGGGGTCCGTGTTTTTTTTTGCGCCGCACGGTTCGAACTTACTGTTCGTGCACTGTAGGGAGAGTGGGGACGGCTTCTCAGATGTACCCCTGCTTCTCAGAAGGCGCGGGCCTCACTTGCAGATGCAGGGAGCCTTCTTCTAAGGAGGGATGCCTTATGAGGAGCAGCCTTCTTCTAAGAAGGGATGCCTCCTCCCCCATACCCCCTCGTGCGCGCCGCAGAGACTAGGACGACCAGGACGACGACGAGGGCGACGAGGTCGACGACGACGACGAGGTCGACTTCGACGACGAGAGGACGGCGGCGGCGGCGGCGAGGTCGACGAGGACGACGTGGCTTGGCTTATGAGAAGGCGCCGGCCCTGCATCTGCAGATGAGGCCCGTG